GCTTCCTAATACATAGCTAGGCTTATGCAAAAAACCAACTAAAAATTAATAGATTTATAAAATATATGCGAACTGAGGTTGGAGTTCTCGCAATACTAATCGGCAGAGTGGTTCCAACCAATTATCGTAGTCAGCTTTGGGCAATTGCAAGTAAAAAACGGTCAAGACGAATTACTGAAAGTTAGAAGAAGACAGGGAATTTCGAAAACTAACTTGAAAATTTAGCACCTAGAAATAGGGACCCCCGAGACCGTTCTACGCACTAGAAAACTAATTACATGTCGCAAATACGTCCATTGAAAAGAATGAAACAAGCAAAGATGGGAAGAGAAATGGCATGATGCAAAGAGCACTACAAATAAGTCAGTGAGCATTTTCGGCATGCATCGCATGCATTGCTAGCGCATTCTATGTTTCAGTTCGGGCAATTACCCAGTCAGCACCGCAAACCCGTGCATCGTGGGTTCGGGAAGTGGCTCCTTCACGTACTCCCCGAACAGGAGAGTTGATCTTGATGTAATCCTTATACATTCCACCCCTGGGAAAGAGTTTGCTTTATAACCCGTGATGCAATGAATGATATCGACTGGGTGAAAATTTTCATGGATGCTATTGATTGATTAGAAGCCCATATGGCAAGCGGTCACCTTAATGATTTGATCTAAGACACTTTTAACTATTGCAACCTGAGCAACAAATATCTTTAGAAGCCATTTCACTCTAATTTCTCCTATGACGCCACCAGTCGTTATTTTTCAGAAATTTCACCAGAAGGAAATACCGCTCAACAATCACAGCAACCTTATCGAACGCGACCTACAACTCCCAAAATCGACGATGGCCTCATACACTTATCATTACTATACGGTATCGTACCGTAAAAACGAAATAGGTATTGCTCAATTTACAATAAATTCAATAAAACAATATTCATTCATTCAATAGCGTAATTAATGCCTTCCATAATGGCAGTATGTAGTTTGGCCTTCAATATATGCCGTGTTGGATAGGACGGCAGATCAAGGCGATTGAAACACGTATGCGCTCTTGAAAATATCACAATCAATAAATCAATAAGCATCGATATTGATTGCATTTGCTATTTGCCAAACCTTGGAAGAGCTGACTCTTCACCCCATTTCTCTATAGTGAAACGTTTTGGCCCATTACTTCCACGTAACATGGCAAAACCTTCGAACGGTATGCTCGAAGTACCAGTGACAAACTGAAATAGAATGAGGGGATATCAAGGGGTAAGCCACGCCCACTGCACGAGATTAGCCACGCCTACGGGACGAGTCATACATGCAGTATCTACCTGTAGCAATTTTAATCGCTCGGCATTTGACATTTGAGCTACCCGGTCCCAAAACCATTCTATGACCACATGTTCGTCGAAATAACCTCCCTAAAACAATGGATTTCAGTGTTCAGGCTGATTTACACCGTAAGTGCTTAGAGATGAATGGGTGTAGCCACAGCCACAAAAAGTCGAAAGTTCGTTTGGTTACACAATGTGCTTTTCACTTCACGCCATCTTGTGTGATTACGGTGGAAATTATTAAAAATTCTTGCACCAACCCTATATTCAGTGTTTTTTCGCCAATCTTCCAAATCAATTTCTCGTGATCCAGAAAGCACCAATTCAACTTGCTCCACTGTGAATACTCGCAGAAAGTCCCGATCAATAATCTGAAAACAAATTTCAGTTTTCTCAAAAATTTTCATGTTTTCTAGCTCTCCGATCAGACCTCGGCGA